CAACTTTATTGGTGATAGGTTTTTGTGCTCAATGTTACATAAGCTCTAACAAGCCAGCTTTATGCATAGAATGATCAGCTAGATAAGGCAGATCTCTCAAGAATAAGTGCATCAATTGAGATAAGACATACCTGTTGAAAAAGAACCCATCCGTATATTGCATTATGAAGATTCTCAGTTATGCCCAACGTCGACCAAATTGATTTCATATGGAAAAGCATTGATGAGGCATCCTGATATTTATTTCAAATTAGCGACAAAGATGCACGAGAAACATGGTAAGAAAAAAAAAAAGAATTAAAAATCTACCTCTATGAGTTCACCCTCTTCAAGAATATCAAATACGCCAAATAACAATTTCTCATAGAGTCTAATGTTTAAATGATAGATAGAAGTCCAATAATATATTTCTTCTTCAATGCCACATCGGCCTGGTAGTGATGACAACTTCGAAGCCACCTGCCTTATAGACGACAGAACCTCAATCCGCAGCGAAGAAGACATAACAACATCCCATTCCTATGCCAGCCAAAACGGATTTAGATTCAAAAAAGAGAAGTTTGTTAAGTCATCTCACTGGATGAGAACTTACTGCCTGTGAAACATCCAGATCACAAATATCGTACACACCTTTGAGTCTCTAATCGTTGCAAGGCATTTTCTTATAGTAGCTCGTTCATTTTTCTCCAGACTACATGAGAAACAGAGGACTTCTTCTAGTAGGTTAGCCTATATTGACGATGGAAAAATGCACTTAATTCAATGGCTGAAACAAGCATATTTCCATTGTCTTTCACATATATTGAATATGCATATCTACTTGTATAAATAAATGTCCACAGAGCAGCAGGATGATGCAGACGTAAATTCAATTTGCAAGGGAACCAAAACCACAAAATCTGCATTTGCATATTAAAGCACGTTACGTTGTCACTTTAGCTGCACCAATCAATCCCCTCTTCTCATTCAAGCTTATAAATAAAGCATTTGTTCATGAAATTTCCAAGGAGGCAAGAAGAAAAAAGCAATTATAGCAAAGCATCAGGATGCATGACATCCAGACTTACATGAGAT